TGTACTTAAGCAGTTTTTCGTGTATCTGTACTTTACTGAAGTATTTCCATTTTTGGGCGACTCTTTACTTTGACACTACATTTCAAAGTCAAATATCTCACTTTTTACTCCACTACATTATGAGAAATCTGTCGTTCCTTTTGGTTTATGTGTGTATAAAAACGTAACGTCAAAAAAAAAAGAAGCACGAAGCAAAAACACCAATCAGGGCACAGCGGTCACTTAGTTTTGAGCTTGTTTTGACCTGCTGGACATACTGACCCAGTGCAGCACACGGTTCAACATCAGTGCAGCAGCGTAAAACTTTGGGAGAGTCTATTCAACATAAATGATGAACCAACCTAACTTTGTGTAAATAGACCACAATATAGAAATATGTACACATATGCAGTTGTGACTGACGTGTCTTTTTTCTGAATTTATACAAACACATTTCATTTTATAGTAAATTAGTTTTGTCTAGTTTATGTTTATGAACAGAGACCTACAGATGCAGTTTAGGTAAGGAAACTCATTTGTGAACCTGAGTTTAAAGTTTTTATTAGACTTAAACTGTAACTAAGTTCAAATAAATCTTAAACTGAAACTTTACTTGTTTGTAAAAAGTGATTTCAGAGCCACTCAGTTCTACCTGATGGAAACTGTTTACCTTCAGTGTTTTGTGCTTATGATAATTTTAATAGACATCAGCGTCACTAATTAATGACATTCTATTAAAAGATTGGTTTACCAAGAGAGACACTGGAGTATTTTCACCTAAAATGAGTTAATGAAGCGAGTCTGGTTACAAAAATGATAATAGGACATTAAAGTCATAATTAATCTTTTAGTACTTTTACTTTCGATACTTAAGTACATTTGAAGGCAAATACTTTTGTACTTTTACTCAAGTGGAGGTCTAAAGGGAGGAACTTCTACTTTTACTGGAGTAATATTTTACCTTGGGTATCTCTACTTTAACTCAAGTACATGGTTTTTGTACTTTGTCAACCACTGCTCAGTGTTGGATGCTGATGGAGACTCATCGTCTTCTACGCAGGATCTTTCCTCCTCAATGGACGACGTGACAGCATGTAAGTTTGTCATAGAACTGTCAGCTAGAACAGTTAGCCTAGTTAGCAAAAAAGCTGTGCCTTCTCAGTCACGTCCTTAACAATGCGTCCAACACATTCAGGCATGTTTTATAGTGACAAAGTGCAATATCATAAATATATACACACAAATGAGAGCCAAACGGTCAATTTTCTGTCATGTTGAAACATAATAAACAGTATTTCTCCGTAAAATTAGTGTGCTTACTTCCACAGTCTTCTGATGGACTGGAACAAATATCCAAATACTCAAAAAGTGATTTGTGTATTTAAACCCTGGCATCTAAATACCTGTGGACATCCCTATCATCTAAACATCTGTTCGTTAAGCACTGTGGTGAAATAAGTTAAGCGCAGCTTCATTTATCAGGCGAAGCCGAAACCGAGGAACCCTGTCTGAGGTGAATGGGCTTCGTGGCTACAGCTCTGTTTGTTAAAGCGCACACACATAAACCCACAGATTGAAAACACTGGCATTTTATTGCCTTCCCAATGGATCGACTGAGTGAAGGCCGTAAAAGAATAATGAAGACACATCTGAGAGTCGCTTATTACCTCGGATTACACAGCAGTGAGTAAACACAGTATAAAGTTGGCAGTAAGCGGCCTCTTGGCCAGCGTACAGATCGAACATCAGAAACACTCGACCTTCTCCACACAGCTAACGAGGCCTCCTTCGCTGAAAAAATGCAGCTTTTGTGCTGTGACAGTGCAAACTGTGCTACGGCTTAAAGAACAAAATCATAAAGAAAGGGTAGATTACAACAACCACTCGGCATATAATGACTGACTTCAACACTGACAGTCCAAGTGACATTTAAGAAGGCTGAGAAATATGATAATACGAGATAAAAGTGGGAAATGAGGCAAAATGGGACAAGAAAGGTTTACTTTTCTAGTACTAGAAGCTTCATATACACTATATGATCAAAAACTGTGTGGACACCCTTTCTAATTACTGAGTGCAGGTGTTTCAACCGCACTCATTGCTAACAGGTGTATAAAATCAAGAACATAGCCACGCAATCTCCATAGACACACACCGGCAGAAGTGTCATACTGAAGAGCTCAGTGACTTTAAACATGGCACATAGGATGCCACCCTTGCCACAAGACAGTTCATTACATTTCGGCCCTGCTAGGTCTGCCCTAGACAACTGTAAGTGCTATTACTGTAATTTGGAAGCATCTGCACTGTTAGAAATAAAGGTTCTGTTCAGGTACATTTTTCATTCATCAAGGTACAAACAATGTAAATGTTCCTTTAAAGGTACAACAGAGGTTTTAAGGTCTGATTGTGAACCTTAAATAAGTTTTTCCAGGTGAAAAGTTTGAATTTGTACCTTTTCGTATCCGAATGTTTTAAAACAGAACAATAAAATAAAAAGCCTGGAGACGAGACGGGGTGTGTGGAGTCAGTACAAGAGAGATGTTGTGATTAGAGAGTGTGTGTGTGTGAGAGAGAGAGAGGGAGAGAGAGAGAGAGAGAGAGATGTAGAGAGGATATATTCATTCGTAATGGCACCGCAGGGTACTGAGTGGAGTGCAGATTGGAGGCGTCGCTTTTGGCAAAGTATCATCAAATATTACTGCACTTACCTGCTTTCCTGTGATAACGAGGACTGCTGGTGGTCCCTAAGCTACTGTTCTAGGGCCTGGGCTAAACTCTCTGACTGATTCAGCATCAGCCTAAACCACTGTTTCTCAAATCTGGTCCTCGTTTGTCCTGCACATTTTTAGTGTTTTCCTGCTCTAACAAACCTGCATTCATATCAATCAAATAGATTTGAATAGCTATCTCAAACTTGAAAGAACAATCACAAATAGACATAAAAGAACTCAAAATGACTTTAAAGAAATCTCTTAATTACTTGCTTATGTGGTTTCAGACACTTTATGACACATTGCAATCTATAAACATAAACAACCGCAAAGTACAAAAGTATGAACAGAATTCAAGATGCTGCTGCTACTGTTTTTAGCTAAGTCATGCAAAGTACACTCTCAGAAATAAGAGATACTAGACTGTCACTAGAGCAGGACCCCTGTTATCACTGGGGTGGGACCCTCAGGGGTACATCTCAGTGCGTTTAGTCAGGGAACATAACTGTACCTGAAATCACATTGTCAAGTTGTCAATGAATCAGTTAATCAAGCTGTACTGACTCCACACACCCCGTCTCGTCTCCAGGCTTTTATTTTACTGTTCTGTTTTAAATCATTCAGTTATGAAAAGATACAAATACGAACTTTTCACCTGGAAAAACTTATTTAAGGTGCACAACTGGACCTTAAAACAACTGTTGTACCTTTGAGGGAACATTTACATTGTTTGTACCTTGATGAACGAAAAATGCACCTGCACAGAACCTTTATTTCTAACAGTGTATGGTGTTATAATCAGAGACCATCGTTTATTTATACAATTTCCAGTCAAAACAGCCATTAATTACAAGTTATTCAGATAATCGAGTTGTATAAGGAAGAGAAAGGGCAAAGGAGCATAAATGAAAAAGAGAAGCTTCTAACACTGGAGCTTCAAAAATGATTAAAAGCTACAGAGAAAATGTGACTCCTAACAACCACTTGGAAGACCTGGTAGACACCAAAACTGCCCCCATCAGATAAACAGCACTTAAAGCTTTCATCTCTGAGAGAGAGGAGAAAATCAAGCTGCTTCAGATCTGAAAACATCCACAGGTGTTTCTGTCCATCCTTCCACTGTGAGAAGACGACTCAGCGCTGTGGGTCTGAAAGGATGTGAAGCTGTTCAAGAAGAACCTCACTGAGAAAAGGAGACGGACACATCAAACAAAGAAGGTGAACAATGGACTGACCACCCCAGAGTCCAGACCTCAACACCACTGAATGTGTTTGATTACTTCAGAAAATGATCAACCAGCTTCTAAGACTGAACTTTGGAGGTGTGTCTGCAGATTCTTTGAGGAACTGAAAGTGAGTCTCCTGAAAGAATGGAAGCTGTAATAAAGGTGAAGAGTGACACGGTAAATACTGTGTTTTTTTCCAGACACTGAAATATGAATAACTTGTATTCAATGTAGACTGGAAATTAAATAAATAAATGAAGGCTGGTCTCTGACTTTTTCACAGTGTGGTACCTTTGTCCATTTTTGTAGATAACACTGAATGATGGTAAAGCAAAACTGTGTTGATTTAATTCCTGACCATGAGATACTATCATGTTCCATCAAGATATTAAGCTGTGGCTAGAAGACACGATCGCATGACCATGTCTTTGTGTCTGCAACTTAAAGGGGAACTCATAGTGTTCATAGTGGTGGTGATAGGAACCAGACGTCTGAAGAGTTTAAGGCCTCTAAAAGCTACATCACATATAATTATTACATTAAATGGTCAGCCTGATGTCGGAGACATTATTTTACAGTAGTTCTGAGATAAGTTTTGGCCTAAAACGTATTTTAACCAATTTGTTCTAACCTGAGTCTCAACAATCAACCATTTCACACCAAACCACTCTGAATCACTCTGTTTACATTATAACCACTGAATTATGCAGACATTTAGAAAAATTGGTGGACTTTCCTTTCAAGGTTCCTGGGACACTGCTTTTTATTGTGTGGGTATGACATAAAAAATATTTTTCCCCCTTTTATTCTGTACCAAACCCTTCATGTGGTTTAAACTGGGGTGTCAGAGCAGGAAAAGAGTGAAGTAAGCAGTGCAGGACTACAGGAGCAGGACTGGGAAACACCAGCCTCAACCAGAATGAGCTTAGATCACCTCTCATGCTCAACTGAATGGAACAGACTAAGAGAAGACAGACGCTGAACAAAGCGCAACACATGAAAACACATGGGAAAGAACTTTCCACCGAGACACGCACACAGTGCCACATACTCTGGAAGGAGAGTAGGTTCTGGTACTCACGTCGGAGTTAAAGCGGAGCTGGCAGATGTTGCACGAAATCACTTGCTTTTTCTTGGGCGGGATGGAGACTCCGAATGTGTGGTTGATTACGGCTTTCTGGACGGGATCCATCTGGAAGACAAGCAGCGGAGGAGCGCTTTTAGAACAACACACGCACAAAAGGGAGCAAGGGAATAGAGACAGAGGGAGAGAGACAGAATAGAGATGTAGGGATATATATATAGGAAAAACATAAACAAAGCAGGAGAGGATAGAGAGAGAAAGATGTTTGAATAATCTCCATAGAAAAGCACTGACCAATAGAATGAGGTGCTCTGGAGCAGCTGCACATGAGCCAAAGGTTGCCATGCCTTATGCCAGGCATGGGCTAGAGGGGTATAAAGCCCCCCAGCATTGGTCTGTGGAGCAGTGAAACTGGAGTGATGGAGCGCCATTCAGTACCTTTGGGATGAGCTGGAGTGATCCAGAACTGACCATCCAACATCAGTACCTGACCTCACTAATGCTCAATCAAATCCTCACAGCAATGTTCCAACATCTAGTGTAAAGCTTTCCCAGAGGAGTGAGGGCCGTAATGGCAACAAAGAGGGAACTCCATATTAAATCCCTTCACTTCAGAAGAAACGCTGAATGAGCAGATGTCTAAATTTCTTAATGTTCAGTTTATACAATGTTTAATTTCTAAACACAACTGTAATATTATGATGTCCCACCAATAAAGCACCTTAAATAGAATGTGCTATTTAATCACATCTTTCAGAAACATTAAAGATGCAGTCTATGGTTCTGGAGAAAGACTCAACAGCAAAACAAATACACCCCTCCCATCAGTGCCCCATCAAAAGCTCCGCTCCCCCAAATTCATGGATATCCATTGCCAAGGTGAACAACACTGAGCTAGCTTGTTTTTTTAATCTTCATGGCCATAAAACCCCTCGCAAATGTTGCACAGACAAATGCCATAATATAACAAACAATGGCACAGGAAGTGATGTAACTAACGTTAGCTAGGTTGTGGGTTAGCAAATTGACACTACAATCGCTGCTGCGAAGCTAACCAGTTGGGATTAGCTATCACAAACATTAGCAGGACAAAACAGTACTGACCTACTGACTCTGTGAAACATTAAAAATAAGTTAATGTTGCCCACCTGTCAAGCAGAAACAGAGCGGCCTCCTCATCCCTTTTCATGCCTTTAAACTCTTGATGAAGCTGAAGTCAGTTTCTTTATCGCCAGCGTCTTGATCGAATTTTCCCATTCCACCTTAAATGGTGCAGCAGTAACTGCTGTACCATTTAAGGTAAGGTAACACTTTATTTGAATAGTCCACTTTAGATGCTTTCAAGTTACATTTAAAGAAATATCTACTAAACTGACTATCATTTTCTTTAACTAAGAAAACCTGGCTCCTATCCCTAACCTTAACCTCAACCTAAAACCTAAACCCAACCGTCACCCTGGTCCTAGTCCTAACCCTGGTCCAAATCCTAACCCTAACCCCACCACTGTTTAGAGTCAACTGAGTTTCAAAAGATAGTTTGTGAACAATTTGAACATTTGTAGATAATCTGTAATGGACTATAGTGGACTATCTATAAAGTAAGAGGTGAAATGGGAAAAAAGTGCATCCTTAATTGTTTCCAGCACGCACACAGAATGGACAGCTAGCAGACTGAGAGGAGATTTTCACTGAATTTCACAAAAAGTGTACTGGATTAACGTCACTTACTGCGCCTTTTACAGTAAGTCAATTATTTCCTTACCAAAAATAATTCATATGCCACACACAACTTGACACTTGGATGTTTTTGCACATAAGCTAATATCCTTATTAACCACAATACCTCACAACTCACACACCACTAATTGTCAGTGTTTCAGCTGAAGTTCAGTCTCTGTACTCTTCACTGCCCATTTCACCCTCAATTCGGAGAAATCTGTGTGTGTAAAGAGGAAGGCCGAAAACCACAACTGAACGCCCGTCATCACATTGGTGCTTTGACAAACTTCTGTCAATGAAAACTGTTCAAATGCAAGTTACGAGTGGACTATACACAGCTGAAGCGATCGGTCAACAAAGACTAGAAGCTAGTCTGGTCTTAGGCTTATCTGAAATGGACTGACAGTCAACTGAAACATATCATATATATTGTGGTCAGACGAGTCAACCCTCAAGATTGTTTTTTGTGTTCTCCAGGCCAAAGAAGAAAAGTTACCAGCGTAAAGTTCAAAAGTCTGTGTGTATTATGGTATAGGGGAAGTATTAATGGGTAACTTGCACATCTGTAAAGGCAGCATTAATGCTGACAAATATATACACATTTCAGGGATGTTCTTGCTTATTTCAGCAACATTCTGTACAAGTTACAGCAGCATGACTGTATAATCAGAGAGTGCGGGTTCTAGACTGGCCTGCCTGCAGTTCAGGTCCATCTCCCAAGAAAAATGCATGGTGCATCATGAAGCCCAGAACAAAACAAAACAACAAAGAAGGCCCCATACGGTTGCACAGGTGAAGCCTTGTATAACCGGTGAATGGTAAAACTGATGCTTTCAAACCTGGATTATGCTCCTGTACCAAAAACAATAAAGTTCATATAATAAGACATCAAATTTGCATTGTTTTCAATTTACTAAGAAAAATTTACTAAGAAAAAAGAATTTAGTAATTCTGATTGTAATTAATTAAACTGAACTGAATTCAACTGAATCGAACTGCAATGAACTGGACTATTCAGCCAGAGTCAGTGATATCAACCACATAAGTACCTCCGGAGATCCACTGAGAGAAACACACCATCTGATTGTTTAGAGAACAAAGACAGGATGCAAACGCCAAGGAAAGCATGGGGTCAGTGGGTGAGTTCAGTCGAACTACGCCATTGACTTCTTGTTGCACCTCCTCTGATTGCAGCACTCAGATCAATATCAGACGGCAGATTTTAGCAAGAGTTTAGCCCATCATGTACATAAATGTGTGTGTGAAATATCAAGTCTTACACAATCCAACAGCAGCTACTGACCACATAAACAAGCATTATACATAGCCTTTAGCTCCAATATCTTTACATACAACTACTTACTATCCTGCCCAGCATAATATACAGCTAACTGTAAACAAAATGATGAGAACTACAGTCAGGACCAGAATGGAAATAGGCTTTAGCTTATCATAGTTTTTAATGGTTGCTGTATATATTTTAATCAACAAATAAATCGATTGATCAATAGACAACCATTTATCATCCTGACCAACATAATGCAAAGCTTTCAGGCCCCATATATTAATGTAAAAGAACACAAACATATTGCATTATTGCTCAGCTAATTTGAGAAACTGTCAAAACACGATGGATCATGTTCTCCAAGCTCCGAAAAACAAGCACTTTACAGCATCCGTCTCCCAGCAGCCTCTCTCACCACGTTCAAATATCGCTCAAAGTTATTCCTCTAGAAGCGTCTCCAACTCGTTTGACCTCGACACGTTTCGCCCTGAGCGTTCTGGAGCACACGCGACACGGATCGAGGACAACGCGTCTAATCGCGGGTGAAGGACTCACAACGACGGGTTTTAAATGCAGTGGACAGAAAGAGAGAGAGAGAGAGAGATAGAGAGAGAGAGAGGGAGAGAGGGGGGGAGAGGGAGAGAGAGAGAGAGAGAGGAAACCAACAAACAGCACATACCTGTAGCAATTGGGGAACAGTCTGTGGGAAATGGGAGTGGTGTGAAGGAGGGAGATGAAGAGAGAGAGAGAGAGAGTAAGAAAGAGCAAACAAGAAAGAGCAAGAGAGCAGGGGAGGTTCGGGGAGTGAGAGAGAGAAAGAAGATAGAGAGGGATAGGGAGAGATAAGGAGGGAGTGGAGGGAGAAGGAGAGAGAGGGATAGAGAATGCAAGAGGGAGTAAATGAAAAAGAGAGAGAGAGAGAGAGAGAGAGAGAGAGAGAGATACACACGATGACATGTGCTGCTTCTATAACGAGCAGGAGGGGTCTGTGTTCTTGTCAACATGCACCCTCCCTCTCTCTCTCTCTCTCTCTCTCCCTGGCTCCTGATTAGCTCGGAATGGCTGATGAGTTTTGGGTAAACAGGAGGCTGCAGACCGATGCTGTTTTACTCAAGGCGAGAGTCAGAAACCTGATCCATTATCCATCCATTTACTCCACTGGCTCACCTTCTCTTAACTAATAAAGGCATTCTTAATTTCAGGATAACCACCAGCCTCTTATTAGCACAGCCTCTCCTTCCTCCGGCAGTGAGAAACACTAAACGCACTCTCATTAGTCAAGAAGAACTCTATTGTCATCCTATCCATATACAAGTCCACACTGAAGTGGAACTGCATTCCTCCAGGGCCTCAGGTTCAACACAGAGGACAGCTTTTACATGACCACACAATAGACGTGCACAAGGCACGGACTGTATCTAGTGCAAGTAAAGGAGACGATGTAATGCAATACACTAAACAGACTCCTGTATTTCGAGATATGGGCAGAATATCTTTTTTAGAAATGAAGTGCTTCTGAAGCTGAAGATAGCTTTTTATCATGTCCACTAAAATGTGTCTAAGAAGTTTTGGCGCATGTGCAGTTTGCAGCTGGTACAACAGCAGAGCAAAGCTAAATGTATACCTAGAACAGAAGTGTTACGATCTTAAAGGCATGGCTCCTTTCCAGATGTTCTATAATGAAAGGCTGATTATTTGAAACTGTGTTGAACCTGACAGGGTTTTACTTTTGTACAATGCAATGCCTGAGGCTAATAACAAGGCTAAACTGAAATTCTCTACTAAAGAGTCCAGATGACACTGAAACCGGCATCCCAGAAACTCTACTCGCGCTTGCACCCTAGAAACCTGAGACTCTACTCAGAATCGCACCTTAGAAACTTGAGACTCGACTCAAACTCACATCTCAGAGATTTGAGACTCATTTTTAGACTCATACCTCACAGACTTAAGATTCAACCTGGACACACACTCCAGAGACTCGAAGCTTAACCTAGACTCACACCAGAGACTCGAAACTTAACCTGGACTCACACTCCAGAGACTTGAAACTTAACCTGGACTCACACTTCAGAGACTCGAAACTTAACCCGGACTCACACTC